CAACCGCTGTAAATGTGAATGTCAGAGAACTGTCAGAAATAGAGGAGCTCTGCAGATACACTTAGCGGAGCTCTGCAGATACACTTTTTGCCGTTTTGGAATTCTTCTTATTTTCATCCTACTTCTTCTTCTTCTTCTTCATCCTCATCCTCATCCTCAGAAGAAGAGATGAGGATGAGGATGAAGAAGAAGAAGAAGAAGAAGTAGGATGAAAATAAGAAGAATTCCAAGCCGGCAAAAAAAGTGCTAAGTGTATCTGCAGAGCTCCGCTAAGAAATAGCGGAGCTCTGCAGATACACTTTTTGCCGGCTTGGAATTCTCCTTCTTCTCATCCTTCTTCTTCTTCTCATCCTTCTTCTTCTTCTCATCCTTCTTCTTCTTCTCATCCTTCTTCTTCTTTCATCCTTCTCCTTCTTCTCATCCTCTTCTTCTTCTCATCCTTCTTCTTCTTCTCATCCTTCTCCTTCTTCTCATCCTTCTTCTTCTTCTCATCCTTCTTCTTCTTCTCATCCTTTCTTCTTCTCATCCTTCTTCTTCTTCTCATCCTTCTTCTCATCCTTCTCCTTCTTCTCATCCTTCTCCTTCTTCTCATCCTTCTTCTCATCCTTCTTCTCATCCTTCTCCTTCTTCTCATCCTTCTCCTTCTTCTCATCCTTCTCCTTCTTCTCATCCTTCTCCTTCTTCTCTTCTTCTCCATCCTTCTCCTTCTTCTTCTTCTCATCCTTCTCCTTCTTCTCATCCTTCTCCTTCTTCTCTTCCTTCTCATCCTTCTCCTTCTTCTCATCCTTCTCCTTCTTCTCATCCTTCTCCTTCTTCTCATCCTTCTCCTTCTCCTTCTTCATCCTTCTCCTTCTCCTTCCTCATCTCCAAGGGCATTTAAATTAAAGGTACAGTGTTCTGCACTAATTTAAAGGCTCTCTGAAGCTTAGAAACCCTTTTTATAAGTTAAATTCGTAGCGAATAAATTTGCATCGAATCGAATTTCTTCCTCAAATTCGGCGAATCAGCCGAATCGAATTTTTTGAATAATTCGCTCATCTCTAAAGGGTATGCCACAGGCACACATACAGTCCTCAGCATAAATAAGTACACCCCAACAGATTTGTCAGAAAGCCTTTCCTTTCCTTTCAGAAATCAACATTTGCTATAGGACATTATACTACAAAATACTCACACAACTGTGGTACATTGATTGCAAACAAGATGCGTTCATTTGTACACACAAAAAAGTCTTTGAAGCAAAGCTATATTTTAGGCAACACAATCCTAATTAACAAGATTTCAACTACAGGTGAGTCTAATTATTCATTAAACAGGTGTCCAGCAGACAGTTGATTAAAAAAGGGGTTTAATAAACAAAGAAAACCTCTTCCCATTTCATGTTGTCAGCAATGGCATTGCATGGAAGAGAAATGTCTCAAGGTCTTTGAAAGAAAATAATTTCTTTACAGAAGGTGAAGGCTACAAGAGGATCAGCAAAGCTTTACCTATCAGTCAGAATACTGTAGCAAAAGTGATACAAAAATGTAACAAAGATGGAACTACAATCATCTCACAGAAAAGTCCAGGGTATCCACTGGAGTTAACACCTTGACAGGAGTGTCTTCTGATAAGAAGGGTTGAAGAAAATCACTATGCAAGTCCACTGCAGTTAGCTGAAGAAGTAGAAAGCCAAACTGGGGTGATTGTTTCCCGTGACACAATACGGCATACACTGCAGAGGAATGGCATGCATGGGTGTCGTCCACAGAAGAATCTCTCCTAAAGCTCATGCACAAAAAAAGCCCACCTAGAATCTGCTAGGGTCCATGCTGAAAAAGAAAACTACTGGGGCTCTATACGCTGGAGTGATGAGACCAAGATAAATGTTTTCGGAACTGATGGCTTCAAGCCTGTATGGTGTTGCAAAGGTGAGGAGTACAAGAAAATGCATGGTGCCTACAGTGAAACATGGTGTCCTTCTGTGGGGCTGCATGAGTGCTGCTGGTGTTGGGGAGATGCATTTCATTGATGGTATTATGAATTCACAGATGTACTGCTCTATATTGAAAGAGAAAATGCTACCATCACTCCATGCCCTTGGTTGTCGTGCACTTTTCTAACATGACAATAATCCAAAACACACATCTAAGGCCACTGTTATGTTTCTGAAGAAGAACAGGATGAGAGTGATTCAGTGGCCAATTTGTCTCCTGATCTTAACCCAATCGAACACCTATGGTAAATTCTGAAGAGATAAGCTTCACTCTCCATCCAGCATCCAGGCTCTAAAAGAGGTTGTTCTTGAAGAATGGAAAAAGATCGATGTTGCAATATGTTGCCAACTTGTTCATTCCATGCCTAGAAGACTTGGCGCTGTCCTTACAAATCATGGACATACATCAGGTCATACAAAATACCAGATGTAGTCATTTTTGTTGTGGGGTGTATTCATTTTTGCATCAACTAATTTGAGTAAAACTGAATATTTTGTATTCTAACATATATTATTAACCTGAGCTAATGAGCTAAACAAATGTTCTATAAAACTCAGTTTTAGCACAATTTTGGAAATTGTTCTTGTGTTCATTGAGATACTGATTAAAATCATTTATGCTGAGCACTGTAGGTATAGATTCAACGCTCTATCAGCAATTAACCCAGTAAAATCACAAATATTTATATGGTTCTTTGTTTTTAAAATGTTCATTTACAAATGTTCAGATGTACAAATTACAGATGTTGACCAGTGTTATTAGGATTTTCAGCTCCTAAAGTTCTGCTTTTCTTGAGTGCAACAGACACTGCACATAGATGCCAAAGACTGACATTGCTGATTTTCTTAAGCATAAACATACTCTGCACATAAATCCTGTATTCCATTTAAGCTGTCACCAATGTTCTCTTTCTTGAGCACCCTCAGACTCTGCATGCTTCATCATACAACTTAATACTATGTTTGGGAGATATGAGGGTTGATTTACTAAAGACAAATGGACTGTGCACTTTGCAAAATGCAGTTGTACTCTGCAAGTGCAATTGCAGCAAAGCTTAGTAAATGAGGTAAAGCTTCACTTTGCAAAGAATACACAATAACATGCAAGGAAAAGAAAAAAAACTGCATTTTTGCTTGCACGTGATTGGATGATGGAAGTCAGCTGAGCTTCTACTCATTTACTAAGCTGTGAGACAACTGTACTTGTAGAGTACAACTGCAGTTTCCAAAGTGCACAGTCTATTTGCCTTTAGTAAATCAATCCCACAGTGTAACACAATCCCCCACTGCAGTCCTTACCAATTTACACAAAATAATCTTATACGATAATGGTGCTCTGTACATTCTTGCTACCTTACTTCCAGTGGTCAACATCCACAATTCTTGTTGTTTTCTTGTAGGCAGACGTCATTTGAACTTTAGATTAATTTCCACAGCAGGTGTGCCACCTGTACAATATGCACACCCATCTCTCATTGCTGCATATTCTCATGATTCTGTTTCAAATTCCTTCTATGTTCAAAATCAAGACCACCACTTTGTGTTGGTTCTCCACAGTCTGATGTTCAGCAGCTCAATTTCCTTATCCAACAGATACACTGGCAGATGATCCTTAGTGTACTAATGCATATAATAAGGAAAAAGAATATATGCCCTGTGTGAGGATATTGTGCTCACAATTTAAACACTTACGCACAGGTATAACTTCCATCATATATTACCATGTTACTCCTTCAGAAAGTTGTCCCTCAGTCCAAGGTGCCAATCTCTGGATTCTTGGTAACCACAATTTCAGGAGTTACTTTTACATTTATATCTAAAATGATTTAGTCTAAAAATATCAATACAGAGTAAACAAAAAAATCAAGGTTATAATTAAAGTATAAAAAGATTTTCATAGACCTGTAATTTTATGTGTTCTGGACCTTCCCTGTTCTTCAGAAATAAATGGTGTATATTTGTCCCTTCACCTCCTTCCTCATCTTACACCATAAAGACCTTCCAACTTAGAGGAAGCATTTCAAATCAAACTTTGTGTTCCTCCCCTTACTTTACAAAGTTTCCATTGTGAATATCCACTGTTTCGCTTTCTGTGACAGGCTTCTGGTGTACTAGCACCCTCCAATTACCTGTTCTTCAGCATAGAAGTTAAGCACATTTATGGACAAAATGAGATGAAACTCTATGGCTTTTTAGTCTTCTACTTTTATTATATGAAGGGGTATTTTTATTGCAGAAAATGTACTGCCTATAGCAATAGTTTAAGAGTAATCAATGATTACTAAGAAAGGATATGATATTAACCATCGTATCACTTGTAACACTAGAATGGTTGTTAATGTACTTGAATATCGTTGTCTTAAGTAATATGTAGGGTGCACAAAAAAGGGAAATACAAGTAAGCATTAAGAAGCACATAAGAAACATAGGCTGAATTAAAATTAGGGCATTGGGGGGCGCATGCGCGGCCGGCTATTAGATGGACGCTTACTGAGCTCCGCTCCGTCCATCTGCCAGTGAAACACCGGCACTCACCGACCCTGGGGAACAATAACCACCCCCTCACCTTGCAAATCTGTGCCCGCACGTCTAAAGCTATGCCCTGGAGGAAAAAAAACCTGGAGCAGCCGAGGAAACTTACAAAATTTTTCCCTGCTGTCCTGCCTGAGATCCAAGATGGCGCCCGCAGCAGCACACAGGACACCAGCGGCGGCCACGAGGAGGACTACAGGTCCCAGAAAGGAGATCCTAGGCTGCAGTACCAGCTATATCCAGGGGACCCTGGTGAGTTGTCACCCCCACTGTCCCCCACAATTAGCAGCCCAGCCAAGTCTCGGCCACGACTTGACCAGGACCCTGACCCCTTCTGCCAGACCCTAAACAACCCACCCCAACCTCCTCCTACAGCCCTACCAGGCATAGATGCCTTCCCTGCAGCTGACCTGCCATTGACAGAAGTCTCTATGAAAAACATGCTTACTTCGCTAAGACAAACTCTGCATAACGACATTTTCACATCACTGAACCACAGATCAACCGCAATACAAAAGCAGGAATGTAGAATACGCCACATTGAAAGTAACATGGGAGACATAATAACAGCACATAATGATTTGATCGACGCCCACGCGGACCACTCGTCTGATATCGAACAAATCAACTTAAAACTGGCCGACTTAGAAGACCGCTCACGTCGCAATAACATTAAATTCAGAGGGATTCCTGAATCAGTTACTAACGAATTATTGCTACCCTACCTGCAACAATATCTCAAACTCCTCCTCCCATCACTCTCTGACGTAGAGCTCGCGATCGATCGAGTCCACCGACTACCTAAGCCGTCATTCTTGTCGGCGTCTATCCCAAGAGATGTATTGACCCGCATACACTTTTACCACACCAAGGAGAAAATTATGACAGCAGCTAGAAACCCACCATCACTCCCGCCATCGCATGCAAATCTCCGCTTGTATGTGGATTTATCCAAAGCCACGCTACTTAACAGGAAAAAATTGGTCTCCATTACTAAGGCCTTTAGAAACCATGGCATCGCCTACCAATGGGGCTTCCCCACAAAGTTACTAGTTCGACGACAAGGCAGAACTCTCACCGTCAAAACCCTAGAAGCAGGCTTAGATTTGCTCAAAGCCTGGAACATCCTCCCTGCGGACGGGCAGGACGCTACACCTGATTCCGCTCATCTTATGGAGGCAACATAGCTAATAACGCAGCTCACCTCACGCTCAGGCGCACCTATGCCTTCCCCTCAGAGGTCACTTTTCAAGACACAAATCTCTGGCGATCGGCCTAGACCCGATGATGCTCACCTTGCCTGCTTACGGTCGACTTGACCACTTTGGTGGTCAAAGCCAGTTCAAGCTTCCCAGTTCTGAAGTAGCAATGTTAGCTGCTCAGTTTACTTGCGTTTTTTGCAAGTGTGTTTTTATTCCCCTTTGTGTCCTTACCTTCCTTTCACCATGGCACCACCAACTATACACCTATACCTTAAACTATGGAAACCCTGAATCAACAAGGAATACTCCCCCTGTATCTCCAATCGAGCTGGATCTATACCACAGCCACGCTACTACTTTCCTTCTCAGAGAGACTCTCAAGTCCCGATTCTTTCAAAGAACAACTATACCAATAATACACCTCAATAAATCACGTACAAATGATTACTATTACTTCTCTTAATGTTAGAGGCCTAAACTCCCCTTTCAAGAGATCGCTGCTTTCCAAAGAAGCCCGGAAATCCCAAGCCGACATACTTTTTATACAAGAGACTCATCTCGCTACAGGGAAAACACCCACCCTACATCTCCACCGTTTCTCCCAAATATTTATGGCAAACAATTCCAAAAAGAAGAAAGGAGTTATTACGGCCGTCCACGATTCTCTTTCCTTCCGCGCCATCTCGAAAACAGCAGATCCACAAGGACGCTACCACATCCTAATATGTCAGATAAATGACATAACCCACACTTTGGTGAACGTGTACGGCCCGAATAGTAAACAGCTGCAATTCTACCGCAAGCTCTACAAAACCATCTCTCACCACAAACAAGGTAGACTCATCATCAGCGGAGATTTCAACGTCACGAGCAACCCGCTCATAGATTCATCATCTAACAAAAAATCCACCAAACCTGTTCTTACCCACTTTTTGCATGACCATGATCTGTACGACATATGGAGGTTCCAACATGGTACCGAAAGAGACTATACCTACTATTCCCCTCCCCACCTCTCCTATTCAAGAATAGATATGTTTGTTACCGACAAATGGAAGCTACAACAAGTGACTTCATCCACCATTGGAACTATAACCCGGTCAGACCACGCACCAATCCATATTTTCTTGGATGACGTTCGGCGATCGAAAATCCCACCCATTCGGAGACTTAACTCTTCACTCCTAAAAACTCCGGAACACCAGAAGCACATCCTAGAAGCCCACAACCTCTTTTTCACTACCAACGCCACCCCTAATATCTCTGTTACTACACTTTGGCAAACTTACAAAGCTTACATGAGAGGTATCCTTATACAATTAAATTTCCGTATTAAGCGACAGAGATCCCAACAAATTGACCAACTCTTAACTTCCATCCACCTTAACGAAGAGATTAACAAAAACACCCCAAACCCCTCCACCTCCGCAGCCCTTAACCTA